CCCCCCCCCAATAGCTAGCAATCCAAAACAGTCCAGTGGAGCCTGAGCGGTGGATATTGCCTTCTGACACACTTCCGGTGAGGTCAGGGGGTGTGGCATATGCTAATGAGTTATGCTAATGAGCTCCTGCACCTCTTTTTCTACGAAATGACCCCTGTTAACACGTATGTGTTTTTGAAACCTGAAGAGTAGCAGCGTAACATTCTTCAGCGATTCTTAGAATCCCCGATGGACGGGTGCCCAAGTTTTATTTCAAACAGCGTGAAAGCAGGTGGCAGCCATCCAAGGCCCCCTTCTAGTGACACACGCTTGACATTCTTTCCAAAGCAAATGCTGAGGGCAGCGAATAGTAAGCGTCAAGCCGGAGAGACCTGAACTGTTTCTAAAGAGAGCCGCATTTAGCAGTCTGCCGGGAACCGAATGACTCCGTACCAGATAAAACCAAAAAGATAGCTGCGTATGTTGACTTTGTATACGGTGTCAGTAAAAAAAAAATGCATATCCCACAGCGGCCATTATTAGGACAGGGTCTAAGATGAAAGCAGCCAATATTGCAATGTGCAGATCTATGACATGGGCGTCATTTGGGAATGTTATGTACCGTTCTGGTCACCCTATCTCAAAAAAGGATATTGCAGAGCTGGAAAAAGTGCAGAAGAGGGGCAAACAGGACATTTCAGAGAGCCAGTTTGGTATACTCGTTAGGAGCGCTGACTCTAACCTGGGAGAACCGGGTTTGATTCCCCACTTCTCCACATGCAGCTGCTGGTGTGACCTTGGGTCAGTCACAAGTTCTCTCAGAGCTGTTCTCTCAAGAGCAGTCCTCGAAAGAGCTCTCTCAGCCCCACCTGCCTCACACAGTGTCTGTTGTGGGGAGGGGGAAGGGAAAGGAGATGGTAAGCTGCTTTGAGACTCCTTTGGGTAGTGAAGAGCGGGGTGTAAGTCCAATTTCTTCTTCTTATGTTCTTCTTCGGGGGCTGCTACGTCCTGTGAGAAAAGGCTAACATGTCTGGGACTTTTCAGTTTACAATACAAGATGTCTAAGGGGAAGACTGGGATGTGGAATTATCTCATCAGATCTTGAAAGCTAAAACGGGTCGGTACTTGGATGGGAGGAGGAGGAGGAGGTGGAGAAGAAGAAGATGATGAAGTGGAGGAGGAGGAAGAGGAGGAGAATTGGATTTATACCCTGCCCCTCACTACCTGAAGGAGTCTCAAGAGCAGCTTACGACCGCCTTCCCTTCCTCTCCCCACAACAGACACCTGGTGAGGCAGGTGGGACTGAGAGAGCTCTGAGAGAACTTGTGACTGACCCAAAGCCACCTAGCGGGCTGCATGTGGACGAGTGCAGAATCAAACCCGGGTCTCCAGATTAGAGATCGCCACTCTTAACCACTACACCAAGCTGGACCACCAAGGAAGGCTCTGTGGAGGAAGGCGATAGCCAACCTCCTCTGCTTACTCACTTGCCTTGAAAGCCCCTTGCTGGGGTTGGCATAAGTTGGCTGCAACCTGACGGCACTTGAGACACAAAAGATTTATACAGTCATGCCTGGGGTGCAGAGAAAGTGGATAAAGGGAACTTTTTCTTCCTTTCCCATGATACTAGAACTTGGGGGTACTCAATGAAGCTGATGGGCAACAGATTCAGGAGGGACCAAAATGAAATACTTCTTTTAATGGATGGGTAATTAAATTGTGGTATACCCTGCCAGCGGACATGGAGACGGCCGCAAGACTCAAAAGGTAACTAGGCAGATGCGTGGATGAATAGGGCCATTGAGAGATACAAGTCATGACAAAAGGGAACCTCCATGTACAGAGGCAGTAAGCCTCTGAATCCCAGAGTCAGGAGGCAACATCAGGGGAAGGCCTCGGCCTCTGTGCCCTGTTTGGTGTAGCCAGTTTGGTGTAGTGGTTAAGTGTGCGGACTCTAATCTGGGAGAACCGGGTTTGATTCCCCACTCCTCCACTTGCCCCTGCCGATGTGACCTTGGGTCAGTCACAAGCTCTGGCACAGCTGTCCTTGAAAAATCTCTCAGCCCCACCCACCTCACAGGGTGTCTGTTGTGGGGAAGGGAAGGGAAAGGAGTTTGTAAGCCGCTCTGAGACTCCAAGTGAAGGGCAGGGTATAAATCCAATCTCTTCTTCTTCTTCTTCTCTTCTGTGCCCTGTTGTTGGCGATCCAGAGGAACTGGTTAGCCCCTGTGGGAGACAGGATGTTGGACTAGATGGACCCTCACTGGTCTGATACAGCATGGTTCTTCTCTTATTCTTGAGAAGCCTAGGCCTCTCCAGAGGAACTAGTTGGCCACTGTGTGAGGCAGGATGCTGGACTGGATGGACCCTCACTGGTCTGATCCAGCAGTGTCCTTCTGGTGTTCTTATGAAGGCCGCGGCCTCTATGCCCTGTTGTTGGCCCTCCAGAGGAACAGGTTGGCCACTGTGTGAGACAGGAGGCTGGACTAGATGGACCCCTGGTCTGATCCAGCAGGGCTCTTCTGAGGTTCTTATGAAGGCCTCGGCCTCAGTGCCCTGTTTTTGGCCCTCCAGAGGAACAGGTTGGCCACTGTGTGAGACAGGAGGCTGGACTAGATGGACCCCTGGTCTGATCCAGCAGGGCTCTTCTGGGGTTCTTATGAAGGCCTCGGCCTCAGTGCCCTGTTGTTGGCCCTCCAGAGGAACAGGTTGGCCACTGTGTGAGGCAGGAGGCTGGACTGGAATGGGCCACTGGTCTGATACAGCAGGGCTCTTACGACGTTCTTACAGTATGCTATTTTCCCCCAGTGCTTGACAGGCAGACATGCTACAGGTAAAGTCTTCCCTGTCACGGAAATGCAGTAACTGGTAAAACCATACCTGGCCATTTTCTTCCCACCCTCCACACCTCAAAAAAGGATATTACAGCATTGGAAAAAGTGCAGGAAAGGGGCAACTCGAATGATCAAAGGGTTGGAACACTTTCCCTATGAAGAAAGGTTAAAGCGCTTGTGGGACTCTTCAGCTTGGAGAAACGACGGGCTGAGGAGTGACATGATTGAGGTTTATAAGATTACGCATGGGATAGAGCAGGAAGAGAAAGAAGTCCTTTTCTCCCTTTCTCACAGTACAAGAACTCCTTGTGGGCACTCCATGGAATTGCTGAGCAGTCGGGTTAGAACGGATAAAAGGAAGTCCTTCTTCACCCAAAGAGTGATTCACACGTGGAACTCACTGCCACAGGAAGTGGTGGCGGCTACAAGCATGGACGGCTTCAAGAGGGAACTGGATAAGCATATGGAGCAGAGGTCCATCAGGGGCTATTAGCCACAAGGTATGGTCGCGAAGAGTCGGACTCGACTGTGCGACTGAACAACAAAAATAGATAGGGGCTCTGGGGCAAGGGATGCTCTGTCTTCTTGGTGCTTGGGGGGGGGCAACAGTGGGAGGGCTTCTAGCGTCCCACTGCTGGACCTCCTGATGGCACCGGGTATTTTTGGCCACTGTGTGACACAGAGTGTTGGACTGGATGGGCCACTGGCCTGATCCAACATTGGCTTCTCTTATGTTCTTAAAAAACACGCAGGAGTCCCACCAAGTTAAGAGAGATTCCTGGTGATACGGGCCTCTCCTTCCCACCCAGCTCAGCTCAAGGTCCGCGGGGCGGGGGCTCACTCAACTCACCTACGAAGTTCCCAAGGTACAGTCCGGGGAGAACCTGCAAGACACAACAGTGAAGTATGTGTGTGTGAGCCGCACATTGTGGTTTCAGGAACAGACCGGCTTAGAGGGGCAGAGCTCTTAGGACCCTATGCGTTACCCACCCCACCCCCATCGCAGACCCCCTCAGCCCTATGCAGAACGCCTCCATCCCGCCCACTTTCTGCCTTTTCCAAGAATCCAGCTTTTCTTTCCTTTTTAGCTCTGAACCTTTCCCTTTCTGGAAGGCATCAGTTGGATACAGAGGGGGGGGGAACAAGTTGAAAAGATTTATTCATTAAGAGCAGATCTATTCTCTCTTGCTCCAGATTGTGAGACTAGATCTAATGGGTGGAAATGACAAGGGAGTCGTTACCGGCTAAATATCAGGAGAAACTTCCTAACTGTGAGAGTGGTTGAGCAGTGGAACACAGACTGCCTCGGGAGGTGGTGGAGGCTCCTTCGCTGGACGTTTTCAAGCAGAGGCTGGACGACCATCTTTCGGGTATGTTATAGGGCTATCTTTTGGCTGTGCTCCTGCAGAGTGCAGGGGGTTGGACTAGATGACCTTCAAGGTCCCTTCCAACTCTAACATTCTATGATTCTACGATTTAATTCTGTTTTATTTACTTCATTGACAACACCCCAACTTTCTCCCCAATGACAGCCCAAAGGGACAACAGCATTCACCACTACTCCATTTTATTCTGACAACAACCCTGTGAGGTAGGTAGGGCTGAGAGTGCGTGCCTGGGCCAAGATCACCCGGAGGGCTTCCAGAGAGCCAGTTTGGTGTAGCGGTGAAGTGCGCGGACTCTAATCTGGGAGAACCGGGTTTGATCCCCCACTCCTCCACCTGCACCTGCTGGATGACCTTCGGCAAGCCATAGTTCTGATAAGAGCCGTCCTTGAGAAAGAGCAGTTTCTCTCAGAGCTCTCTCAGTCCTGCCTACCTCACAGGGTGTCTGTTGTGGGGAGGGGAAGGGGAAGGAGTTTGGAAGCCGCTCTGAGACTCGGAGTGAAGGGCGGGGGTATCAATCCAGTCTCCTCCTCCTCCATAGCAGAAGTGGGGATTCAAACCTGGGTTTACTCGGATCCTGCTCTATCATTTTAACTACTAAATCATAGAATTATAGAATCATAGAGTTGGAAGGGACCTCCAGGGCCATCTAGTCCAACCCCCTGCAGACTGCGGGAAATTCACAAATAACCCAGAAGATGGCCCAAAAAGACCCCTCCAGGATCTCCAGCCAAACTGGCCTGGAGAACAATTGCTTCCTGGCCCCAAAGGTGGCGACCGGCATTTCCCTGAGCATGTAAAAGACAGGGCCATGAGAACTAACCACTTCTTGCCATCCCTTTCATGACCTGCCTAAATTCACAGAACCAGCACTGCTGTCAGATGCCCACCTACCCTCTGTTTGAAAACCTCCAAAGAAGGAGAAATCACACTGGGTCGTATGCATGCATGATGTACACCTCATTTACATTTATGCAGGGGTCATTTCGTAGAAAAAGTGGTGCAGGAGCTCATTAGCATAACTCATTAGCACAACTTATTTGCATATACTATGACATCACTGGAAGTGTGTCAGAAGGCAACACCCACTGCTCAGGCTCCACTGGACTGTTTTGGATTGCTAGCTATTGGGGGGGGGGACGTGCAGATCTGTCCTCGCAGAGGAGGGAGAGCTTGTACCTGAATAAAACTTGGTCTTAAAGGTGCCACTGGACTGTTTTGGATGGCTAGCTATGGGGG